CACCATCCTCAAAATACTCCTAAAAATACTAGGAGTATTTTTAGCTCCTAGTCCCTGAAGTAAAATTGTGCTGTTTATACACATGGGGCTGTTCATCACTGCTCTGCCAATTGCCTGAATTCTCCTTAAAACATCCCTGTAAGGGAGGCCTTTGCTCAATTACCTTCTGAGACGCAGAGTTCACTCCCTTACCAGCCAACCCTACTTTTGACCAGCTATTAGAGCATTAGAAAATTCTTCTGCTGAGCCAGAAGATGATTCACTGTGACCTCCCAACTATGGTCCAGGGATAGCACGTTGACTTCTCTAAAATGAAAAGAAGTAAACAAAGTTTAATCGCAGATTTTAGGAATGGAGAGTGAATACTGGACATTCTTCTAGCTAAACCTTTCTTTGATAAGAAGAAAAGACAGATTCGGAAAGGTTTAGTGACTTGTTAAAGATCATTCTGTTATTCATCCTTTCCTGAATACCTGCCATGGGTTAGTTGCTGTGCTTAACTCTGGATGGGGGAAAGAAAACAGTGAATGAGACACAATTGCTGTCCTCAGGGAGCTCTTAGTCTACAAGCAGAAACAAACAAGTAAATAAGCAACTACAATACAGGGTGGTACCTGAGAGAAGAGCCATGGGATCATGGGAATGCAAGTGAGAGGCGTGTAACCCAGTCTTGGCCACCCAAAAGGCTTTCTGAAAGGAAAGTTAATAATCACCACTGACATTCATCAAACCATGGCTACACACAGCACACAGGGCTAAGTGTTTTAGTTACATTATCTTAATTACCCTCTACCTTATGAAGGATATACATCTATTATCCCCATTTCACAGATCAGCAAACAGAGGCTGAATAAGATTAAGTAACTTGCCCAAAGCGATGCAATCAGTAGGTGATAAAATTGGAATTTTTTTTTTTTTTTGAGACGCAATCTTGCTCTGTCACCCAGGCTGGAATGCGGTGACACAATCTTGGCTCACTGCAACCTCCACACCTCCCGGGTTCAAGTGATTCCCCTGCCTCAGCGTCCTGAGTAGCTGGGATTACAGTCACGTGCCACCATGCCTAGCTAATTTTTGTAATTTTAGTAGAGACGGGCTTTCACCCTATTGGTCAGGCTGGTCTTGAACTCCTGACCTCATGATCCACCCACCTTGGCCTCCCAAAGTGCTGGGATTACAGATGTGAGCCACCGCGCCTGGCTAAAGTTGGAATTTAAATCCAATACTGTTTGCTTTCAGAATCACTCTTCTTGTGCTTCCAAGACTGAGTGGTTACCTAAGTAGGGATGGGAGTGAAGAACATTCTAGGCCGGGAGAATGTAAATGCCCTGGACAGAGACCCTGAAGTCAGGAAAGGCATGTGCATTGGAGGAATCACAAGAAGCTACAGGTGTGGCTGTAATGTGGTCTCTGGGGGGCAAGAGTGGGAAGAGAGGCTGCTGAGTAGCCCCAAGGCACAGGCAGAACCCAGGCTGGAACTCCTTTCTGGGCTCCTAGCTCAGTGCTCTTTCTACCACATTCTACCTGCTTCCCCATCACAGGCTAGCATCTGTTTTTATCTGCACCCATTTCAGACTGGAGGGAGCCGGCGCATGTAAAAATGAGGTGTTTTCTTCCTCACCCAGAGATGCACACTTTCAGGCTTCTACGCTATGTGGGTAGCGCCCAGAAGACTGGCCCCAAAATCCATTCAAAAACTGGAGGAGGAGTCATGACAATGAGAACAGTCATCACAGCTAATGTGACTGAGTGTTTCTGAACCACTGACATCCTCTCTTTTAATCCTCACAGCTAGCTTATGAAGTGGTGTATTAGCTCTCCTCCTGGGCGTAGAGAAAGCAAATCAGCTCAAACCACCTTAAGCATAAAGAGAATTTATCAACTCAGATAACTGAAGAATGCAGTGGAAGAAACTGGGCTCTAGGGCTGGATGCAGAGGCTGCAATGAGACTGTCAGAAATGAGTAGGCTGGGCGCAGTGGCTCACGCCTGTAATCCCAGCACTTTGGGAGGCCAAGGCAGGTGGATCACCTGAGGTCCGGAGTTCAAGACCAGGCTGGCCAAGATGGCGAAACCCCATCTCTAATAAAAATACAAAAATTAGGCAGGCATGATGGTGCACATCTGTAATCCCAGCTACTCAGGAGGCTGAGGCAGGAGAATCGCTTGAACCCAGGAGGCGGAGGTTGCAGTGAGCCTAGATCGCGCCACTGCACTCCAACCTGAACAACGAAGTGAGACTCTGTCTCAAAAAATAACCATAAAAAGAAATGTGTCTCTCCCTCTTCAGCCCTGCTTTCCTGAGTGGATTCCATTCTCAGGCAGTATTTCTCTGTTGAAGACACAGAGGATCATGATGGGCTGAAAGTTTACATCGTAGCGGATTAGCAGCCCCACAAAATGAAACTGTTTCTGCCCTAGTACTTCCAGAGAAAGCCCCAGAAGTGTCTCTCCTTGGCCCCCTTAGGTTACCTGCTCAACCTCAGACTGATCACTGTGACTGATTGGCCAGACCTAAGCCACAGCTTCACCCAGAGGCCAACCCACTGGGACCCAGAGGTAGGAAGGGTACATTCCCAGTAGAAAACAGAGGAACTGCTATAGAAAAGAGCACTGCTGCTAAGAAGCCCACACCACCTACAAATGTCTACTATATGTAGTTACTAAAAATTCTTCCATTCCAGAGGTGAAAAATCTGAGAAAACAAAAGATTAAGTCAATTGTCTCAGCTCATACAGCCAGTATCAGAGGAGGGATTCACACCCAGGCAGTCTGACTCCAGAGCCTTAAGTTCTAAACCCCCAGATCACCTGGGAATAGCTTAGCCTGCTCAGAAGAGAATTCACTCGCTCCTACCCACATTTAGAATGAGGATAGTTCCCGCTGTTCTTTGTATAAACCGTAGGACCTAGGGATTACAGCCCAGAACTGAGGAATGGTTATGCCCTAATGTTGCCCTGATGATGCCCTCGTCTGCATTCTGAAATTCTTAATTTTGCCTTTAATCTCCCTTAAGAGTTAGGAGAGGAGGAGGAGTTGTTCCACGTGCTTGAAGAGGAGCCACTAGGAGTTGACAGCTGCTTGCCAGCCCAGCCCCTGGGAGGCTTGGGGGAGGAGAGAAAGGGGAAGGAGCAGTGATTTATCCACCTCACTGGCATCCTTTAGGATGGTTGTTTGACAGCCAAGAGTACTTCTTTGGGGGCCAAACCAGGACAGAGAACATGCAGTGTAGGCAGATTTAGTGAGTTGTCCTAGTAAGTTACAATGCTGTTACTCTGCAGGTTGGTTGTTTGAGACAGAGTTTCACTCTTGTTGCCCAGGCTGAAGTGCAATGGCACTATCTCAGCTCACTGCAACCTCTGCCTCCCGGGTTCAAGCAACTCTCCTGCCTCAGCCTCCTGAGTAGCTGGGATTACAGGTGCCTGCCACCATGCCCCAGCTAATTTTTGTATTTTTAGTAGAGAATGGAGCCTGTCTTGCAGGTGTCGCAATGTCAAAACTGCCTCTGGGTCCTTTAGTGTTTTAAAATTAGGCCTTATGCCTCTCCAGCGGGGCAGGCCTCATTTGGAAATGACTGACAATGAACCTGGGTGCATATGCAAAACAGCAAGCGGCCCTGAAGCCATCCAAGTCAATAGCAGGCTGAGACTGGTGTGTTTCATAAATAACCTCATAAATTGGAGGCGGAATGATGTTGATAAAAGTGTTAGGAAGTGCTTCTCACTCCTCTTTACCTGGGGAGGTAAGAAGCTACCATGAACACTCCGGATGGCTGTTTGCCATCTTCTTGCTGTCCTAGCTGCCTAAGAATTGAGGCTGACTTTCACCCTGAGAATTTCACCAGAGAGCTGTGAGGTGGAATGAGAAGGAGCTGGTAGTGATGAGGATGACAACGGAGGGTAACCAAGGAGAAAGAGAAGAAGAGATTACATGGGAGGAGGAGAGAAATAAGGCCCTTGCCTTAAAGCAGTAGGAAAAACCTTTCTAAACCCTTGCTACTGGCGTCAGCATCACCTCAGAGTTTGTCAGAAATGCAGAATCTCAGGCCCCACCCCAGACCCATTGAATCAGAATCTCTGGAAGTGGGGCTCAGGAATCTGCATATTTACTAGCTTCCATAGCTCACTAGGTGTGAGAGCCACTGTTCTCTATCAAGAGTAATTAGGCTCATGTGTCTATTTCAGCTGAAGACCAAGGGGAAGCTAACTTCAGTTAAAAGGGGAAGAGGAGCAAATTCATTCGTTATTATTCCATCTGTACTTCTACTGTCAACACTAATTGTCTCTTTGTTCTACTAGGACTCCCTGCCTGCAATAAAGTTGTTAGTCCTGACCCTGAAGGGTGCTTATCGGCAGCACAGGTGATGGTGCCCATCAGTCACTGAAGAAGCCTTTGAGTTTCTATGAATTTGCAGATTTTTTTAATGCAGTTGATGATTAAGCCTTTAATGGAGAATATAGTCCAGGAGTTGTGGATCTGCTCATGTTGTTACTTGAACACAGAGCAGTGTTCATTGAGTTTTTCATGCCCTTATCCTCCAGGAGTTTGTGGAAGGCTTAGTATACGGCACCACTGTGTAAGTGAGAATAGCTCCTAGCTGCCTACTCCACAGGGTGGAGAGAGGCATGATTAATACCAAGCAGCGTGCTCGGCCCTTCCAACATGCTGTGGGAAGATGCTCTCAGGTGCACACAAGTGCCAGACTCGTGTATTGTGTGTGGCTGATGCCGAAGCTGTTTCCATAACAATGAGTGTTCGGCTCCAGAGACTCTCCTCGGGAGCTGAGGACCCCCTCCTTCTGTCACCGAAGCTGGGATTGGTAGCATTTCTCAACTCACCTAAGATCTCTTTGGGAAAATAGGAAGGGAAGCAAATTACTGAATTCCTTGATATCAGATACCCTTCAAGTCTCTTCCAGAAATATTAATACTAATCAATCATTTCGCACTTAGAAAATGCTGGCTCTCTCCACGTGGATTAACACACCCATGACAACTTTCATGGCAAGCCCTTTTATTCTTGTCCCTGTTTTACAATAGAGGCTGAGGCACAGAGAGGGTAAATTGCTTTGCCTTCAGTTGCACAGCTGGTGAGTGACCAAGTCAGGTTTGACTGTAAGCAGCCTGGCTCCAGAACTTCCAGTCTTAAGCACAGCTCTTCACATGATCTCTGAAACTCCAGTGATGCCCGTGGGTAGATATGTCTCTTCATTTTTCAGCTGCAATAATGAAGGCCTAGAAAAGGGATGTAACTTATTCAGCATTCCACAGCTAAAAGAGACTGATTTCTGATTTCACCTCAGGTCTGTCAGACTGAAAAATCCATCCCCTTCTTCCCCAAACCCTCTACTCCCTCCGTCCTTGCTGCTGAGCTGGACACAGAACATTCATGCACCCATAGCAAAGAGGGTGGCAGCTACTGCTAGGAGCAGTGGGGCTCTGAGCAAAAGTGAAGCGTGGCAGGGCCAGGCACGGGAGGCCCTGAGAATGTGCTGAATTCAAATGACTGGGCGCTAACCTTCCACCCTGTGCCCTCTGCTTCAGAACCCTCCATGGCAACGACATTTCCAGCGTTCCTGAAGGCTCCTTCAATGACCTCACATCTCTTTCCCATCTGTAAGTAGCAGTATTTCTCCCCAATGCGCATTCAAAACAGGAAAGCATGAAAAGTGTCAGCAACAGTGTCATCCCTGTCAGCATTTTGGTATACGTCCTTGCCTTATGCATGCGGTATATTTTACAACAACGTATCCACACTGCATATTGTCTTGTTCCCTGCTTCAGATGCCTTCAAAGGCATCCTCAATTCTGTAAACAATGTAAATATTTAATAAGAACTAACAGAAAACATGTGCTATGTGCTAAACACTTTAGATAAGTTTTCTATTTATTTCTTACAGCTATAAGGCATTTTTTATCCCTTTATTATATGTAATAACATTGAAACTTAGGTTAAAGAATTTGTCAGCTGGGTGTAGTGGCTCATGCCTGTAATCCCAGCACTTTGGGAGGCCAACGTGGGAGGATCACTTGAGGTCAGGCATTCGAGACCAGCTTGGCCAACATGGTGAAACCCGGTCTCTACTAACTAAAATGACCAAAATTAGCCAGGCGTGGTGGGTGCCTGTAATCCCAGCTACTCGATAGGCTAAGGCAGAAGAATCACTTGAACCCAGGAGGCGAAGGTTGCAGTGAGCCAAGATCACGCCACTGCACTCCAGCCTGGGCAACAAAGTGAAACTCCGTCTCAAAAAAAAAAAAAAAAAAAATAGAATTTGTCTAAGTGTGGCACAGCTAGGAAATAGCAGGGCCCAGTATCAGATCCAGGTTTGCTTTGACTCCAAAGCACGTATTCTTAACCACTCTGCACTCTGCAACAGGTATTCCCTTCATATTTTACACAGGGGAAATGGAGGCCCATAAATGCTAAGTGACTCGCTGAAGGTTGCCTGTCAAATCAGTGAGATGTTAGGCTAGAACCTGGGTTCCCTCACTCCCAGGCCAGATCTCTTTTCCCCAGATCAGGGATCTCTGCATTTGTTTATGCACCTCTGTCAGCAAACATTTTCAAGTTTGTATTCCTTCTATATGCTTATTTAATTATTTTCATAATGTGTGTATATACCATTATACAGATATACAATGTACGCATATTCTAAAACATTCAAAACTAGAATTGTTAAAGGATATAATTTTTTGTAAAAAACAGAATTTCTAGTATTTTCTTCCCAATCACAACTTTGGAGATGTCTGTGCTGGACTTAACCCTCCTCCCCTGCATTCCTCAGCCAAGTGGTCTGACACTGCTTCCTAGGTTGCAGGCTTTCAGAACCTTCTCTGCACGGTATATCCTCCAGTGGACCCTTCAATAGGGCAAGGGAACCAGATAATCAGATGGCCAGAGATCCAAGAAGCTCCCTAGGAGCCTTGGATGAGGTTAAGTTGAGGAGTGAGTCTTACCTGCCTAGGCGAGAGCCACGCCTCAGAGTGGAAGGGGCTTGGATGGGAATGGAAACGTCCACAGGATTGGAAGTACACTCTGGAGATACTAACTGTGCCACAATGGAGACAACCACTATACCGGCCCCATATCAGACACAGAGTCTGGAGGAGACTGGAGACTGAAGAATCTAGCCAAAGTCTGAAAATGCATTTCCAGAGACAGGAAGATAGGAAGCCTACAGGCCACGCTGGGCAGGGGGCCCTGACTTCCTGTTCTGCCTCCTAGGGCGCTGGGAACCAACCCACTCCACTGTGACTGCAGTCTTCGGTGGCTGTCGGAGTGGGTGAAGGCGGGGTACAAGGAGCCTGGCATCGCCCGCTGCAGTAGCCCTGAACCCATGGCCGACAGGCTCCTGCTCACCACCCCAACCCACCGCTTCCAGTGCAAAGGTAGGTGCTGCCCACACCCCACCCGCCCCTGCCTCTCGTGGGGTCTGCTGTGTCCCCAGCAACCTGTCAGAGCAGGGCAACTCAACAGATGTGGCTTCAGAAGCCTTCACCCTGTCTCTTCCATGGGTCCCACAAAGAGGCTCAGATGTTGATGCTGATGTGGACCCTCATCTAATGGGCCAAGTGTCATTCTCTCCAAGTCCCCCTGCCGGCATTGCCACATACCTCCTCACTGACTGCTTTCTGTACATGTCTTTCCATAGTTGAGAAAATCTTTTTTTTTTTTTTTAACCTTTTGTAGAGACAAGATCTCACTATGTTGTACAGGCTGGTCTCAAACTCTTGATCTCCAACCATCCTCCTGTTTTGGCCTCTAAAAATGCTGGGACTACAGGCATAAGCCACTGCATCTGGCCTTCAGAAAATCTTTAACCTGCACTTTTTTATCCAACATGATTAGAACATAAGCATTTTCCCATTTTACTGAGCAAACTTTTTGTACATGTGATTTTTTTATTGATCATATTATTATTATAACAACAAACTACTACTGAGTTCTTATGCAACAGGAAGGATGTTAAGCACTTTCTCGTGTCTTTTTTTTCCTCTTTTTTTTTTTGAGATGGAGTCTCACTCTGTTGCCAGGCTGGAGTTCAGTGGCATGATCTTGGCTCACTGCAACCTCCGCTTCCCAGGTTCAAGCGATTCTCCTGCCTCAACCTCCCAAGTAGCTGGGACTACAGGCCTGCACCACCATGCCCAGCTAATTTTTGTATTTTTAGTAGAGACGGAGTTTCACCATGTTGGCCAGGATGGTCTCGATCTCTTGACCTCATGATCCTCCTGCCTCGGCCTCCCGAAGTCCTGGGATTACAGGCATAAGCCCATGCCCCATTTTTCTTCATTCTTCACGTATTAACTTACTTAATTACCTAATACCTCTACGTGATCAACTTTTAATATTATCCTCATTTCTAAAAATAAGAAAATTGAGGCTTAACAGGTTAAATGACTAACTTCTAAAGAAGTCATTTAACTTCCAGGTCTAGCTAATTACAGAATACACAATCTTGATCACCCAGCTGATATTCCACTGCCACTTAATCCATTTCTGGTTTTGAATCTTTAGAGTATTTCCTTTTTTTTTTTTTTTTTAAACCATTGACACTTTCTCTATTTGAAATCATATCCTCAGACAAGATTCAGAGAAGAGAAATTACTGAATCAAAGTATATTATTATTTTTTTATTTTGCCAAATTCATTTTCAAAAAGGGTTATAACCAACTTACATTCTCAGTAGCATTCTTTGATTGCATTTTTCACTGGACCCTGTCATTATTTTCTCTTATTTTACATCATTGCAAATTCAATAAGTTAAAAAAAATAACTTATTTTGTCTGATTACTGGGGAACCTGAATTTTTGACAATATATACATCTGTTAATCTCTTTTGCTCATCTCTGAGAGGCTTAATATTTATTTTGACATGTAGATATACTTTAATTACCCTCTCAAACTTTGGTGTGTCCCACACTTCTGCTGCAAGCAGAAAAACATTCCATTGGCTTAAAGCTAATTTTAATTTTCCTCTTCCTGCTTCTAAGGTATCAGATCTGATACTAAAGAGGCTCACCTAGGCCAAGACAGTATGGGTCTCAATCTTGGCTGCACATTCTGGAAATCATATAGGAGCTTTTGAAATTACTGAAGCCTGGCTCCACCCTCTAGGTTTTGATTAAATTGGTCTGGAGTATAACCTGGGTGTGGGGACTTTTAAAAGCACTGCTGCTGGGGGCGGGGCACCAATGGCTCACACCTGTAATCCCCACACTTTGGGAGGCTGAGGCGGGTAGATCACTTGAGGTCAGGAGGTCAAGAGCAGCCTGGCCAACATGGGGAAACCCCATCTCTACTAAAAATACAAAAATGAGCCAGGTGTGGTGGTGCGCGCCTGTAATCCCAGCTACTCAGAAGCTGAGGCAGGAGAATCACTTGAACCCAGGAGGTGGAGATTACAGTGAGCCAAGATTGCACCACTGCACTCCTGCCTGGGCAACAGAGTGAGACTCCACTTCCAAAAAAAAAAAAAAAAAAAAAAAGCACTGCAGCTGGTTGTAGCATAAGGCAGCCAAGTCATCTGGGTTTTGCCTGGGCTGTTCTTGGTTTTAGCACTGAAAGCTGTGTCCTGCAGACCCCCTTAGCCCCAGGCAAACCGGGACAGATAGTCTTCCTATTCTAATATGAAGCTATGGTTGAGCCCCCGCTACCAGCGCTCAATCAGGCCACTCTGTTTACTCATCCGCAAATGGTCACTCACTGAAGTTCATCTCAGCACATCTCCAGGTTGGTGACTGTTAGCCCCAAGGTCATTGACAGTCCTGACATTAAGCAGGGCCTGTGTATCCAGGGCTCACTGTCAAAGCTGGCTGCAGCAGCAGGACACAGCCCCCTTTGCAAAGCTCTGGGAAGAACCCTGACCTTCCGCCAGTGCTTGCAGCTAAAGCAAGCAGGACTCAGCTGAAATGGTCACAGATGCAACATGCACCTGAGCAGTTTTCCACCCATTGTCAGCATCATCGCTGTGTCCTCTGAGGCCATCCATTTCTTACTTTCAAGGTTTTCCAAGGGAGACTTCCTCTGTGTGCCTTTGGCCCCAGCACTGGGCCCTGCTTAGCCTGGCACAGACTATTCCATAGGGAGGGGTGTTTTTGGATAGAAAAATGGGAGGTCCGAATGGAGCCTGGGCCCAGAGCTTCCTGGAATACGAAAAGATACACAGGGGGTTTCTAATTATGGTGCATTGTTTGCCGATTAGCACCAAAATCGGATCAGGCTAATTACAGTAATTGATTTGACTGCAGAAGTGTTTCTGAATGATGTCCCACTGTGATTTTTCCTCACCGGACAATGGCTGAATTAATGGGAGTCTAGCTGGACTGGATGTGCTGGCTGGGGAGAGCCAGCTGCTATCTGGGCATGGTGTTGGGGAGGGCTTGGCACTGGCTGAGGGAGGGCCCAGAGCAGAGGGGAAGGGAGGTGTGGCAGTGAGCGCACTCGGGACCTGCCGTCAGCACTCTGTGGTTTTGCTGCCTAGGGCCAGTGGACATCAACATTGCGGCCAAATGCAATGCCTGCCTCTCCGGCCCGTGCAAGAACAACGGGACGTGCACCCAGGACCCTGTGGAGCTGTACCGCTGTGCCTGCCCCTACAGCTACAAGGTATGCTGGGAGGCCCCACCCCCACATTCATGCCTCAGACTCCTCCTTCACCCCTGGCCCTAGAAAGGGGCACCGAGCCCTACTCTCCCTTCAAGGGACAGCTTGGATGAGTCCATTGCACAGGTCAGCACCCCAAAGCAGCATTTGCCAGGAACACTCCTGTTCTCTGAACTGGTGGGAGCTGCCAGTCAGAGAGGACCCCGTATGGTCTTGGCCAGGATGCCAGGACAGAAGGAGAAAATGTAACATTTGTATTTTCTTTGTGAAACGTGGGGAAATTAAGTCTCAGAGAGTGAAAGTGTTTCCAAGTAGAGGCATCCCTTGAACCCATTCTCCCAACTTCCCTTCTAAGGGGATTTCCAGAACCTCCACCCCACCATGTCCCAGCCAAACCCCACCCTCAGAGCAACCAGCCTTGGAAGTGCTGGTTCCAGCTTGATGCAGATACCAAGGGGGATTGAAAGGCCTAGGGGCTGCCAAGCTCACCCAGAAGATTGACAGGCTAAGGTCAGGCAGCAAGAGGATGGAGATCCCAGTTCTCCCCTCTGTCTTCCCCAGAAATCCAGGCTACCTCCAAGACAGTCCTTCCCTCTCTTCTCACCCAGCACGTTCCTCTCACCCACAGTACAGTGTCGTGCCCCCTGTGGCTATCGACCGTGTGCCTCTCACCAGCACCTACAGAGTACAGACTGTGTGCCAAGTAGTGTGCTTGGCATTTTACTCACCTTTTCAAACACCCCAGCAAACCTAAGAAGAAGGTCTCATTAATTCCCTTTTTACAGATTTGGAGACTGGACCTCAGTCTGTGAAGAGTTCAACTCAATGTCCAAAGCTTGCAAGCAGTAGGGCTGTGATTAAGACCCAGACTATGTGATTTCAGAACCCAGTCCTTCTCCCCTGGAGGGTTTCCTGAATAGTTGAGCCCTTCCTTGTGCTTCACTGGAATCGGCAAAGCTGTGGCTCCGTCCTCTTCTGCAGGGCCCTCCCAGCTTCCGGCCTTCCCAGGGAACCCATTCAAAGGCACGGGGCAAGCCCAGAGTTTCAGGACAGCCCCGCAGCCCATCTAATGCACACATCTGATGCAAGTGGAGTGAGAGTAAGCTGGCATCTCCAGAACTCTGTCCCCGGTGGGACTGTGTGTGTGTAGTGACAGGCTTAAAGGCAGCCTCACTCTGGGGAATGGGACTACCTGATACATTTCTAGACTACAGCTGTGCTTCTAGCAGATAGTGTCAGAGTGCCACCTATGGGCCTAGGACAAGAGAGTCAAAGAATTCTCTTTGAAGCTAGCCACCTCCAAAGCCTTACACTTACCACTGAGTCCCAGACCCATGCACCCTCATCTCATAAGCTGATTGTAAAAATTAGAGAAGGGAATAAATGTGTAAGGCCTAGATGAGTGCCTGACCTTCATTGATGCTTCAGAAGGGAACTGTGCTATGCATAGAATTGAGAATGTTATTGATGCACAGTCACAGGTGCCCACATACAAAATTATTATTAATAGCAGGGAATAATAGAGATTAACAGCAGACACACTCAGGATTTGTGGATCCTCTGAAACTCCCTTTTATGGATTCAGCAGAGAAAATTCAGACTATGCAATTACACAGAGAGGCAGGGGTAGATTCAAGCTTTGTCATTTATTAGCCGTGTGGCCATGGCTGGTAATTTCATCTGTCTTCCCAGCTGTAAGCTAGGACCTGTCTCTCAGGTTTGCCATGAGAGTCAAATGTACAGTAACGTACGCAGTACACCTAGGATGTTACCTGTCATTCAGTAAGCACTCAGTAAGCTGGTACACTGCTCCCTTTTACCTTTACCCTTGAATGGTGGTCTCTCATACCTGGGTGTGGAATAGGCCATCACTAACAGGTGGTATGTTGCTGGTTTCATCCAGGATTACCAGTCTGTGGCTCTGTGAACTGCCAAGGAACTTCAGTCATTCTCCTAGAACTGTGACTGCATTTGTAACATTCTCAATTCCATACATAGTTCTGTTTTGAATCATCAGTAAAGGCCAGGCACTCATCTGGAGCTTATGCATTTATTTCCTTCTCTAATTTTTATAGTCAGCTCATGAGATAGGGAGAATCATCCCTATTCTAAAGATAAGGTGAACTGTTTCACATTCTGATTCTTGCTTGCTTCTCTTTAAAGCAGGCCTGAGTCTCAAAGTAGTAGAGCCGGGTTTCAAGTCCAGGCTTCTTCCAACTACACCTGACCACACTATGAAGCATGACCTGATGTCAGTGTCAGAGCAAAGAGAGTGTCTGCAGGGCTACTGCAGGATAAGGCCACTTTTTTGAACTTTGTTCTCAAGATTCTGAACATCGTGTTGATTTTAGAAGAATTTGAACAGAGATTTTGACCCTGAGGAAAATGTTGAGCCCAGGCAGGTCTAGGGTCCATGATGTTGATGGTGATGGTGAATATGATGATGATGATGGTGGTGATATCAGTGATGACAGATGATGACAAAGGTGACAGTGGTGATAATGGAGACGGTGGTGATGTTGGTGATGGCGATGGTGCTGATGGTACAGATGATGATGATGACAATAACAGTAACATAAGAACCAGCATTTATTGAGTACCTACTATGTACTGACAGTAAATTAAATAAGGTACCTGTATTATCTTGCATATTCCTCATCAGAGCCCTAGAATACAGTTCCTAATGTGTCCCTACTTTCCAGTTGAAGAAGACTGAGCATGGTAGATAAGGGAGTTGGGATTCAAAGCTCAGAGCCAACTGACTCCAGAAGCTGTGCTGCTGGCAACTCCACTCAGTGCCTGTTGGCAAGTGCAGTCATTGCAGGGGCTGAGGCTGAGGATCCCTGACCATTTAGGACCTGTCTGAATTTCCAAGAGAGAGAAAAGTAGAGTGTAGCCATGGGAAGAACACCAAGCAGGACCTTCTGGAGCCTGTGCCTACATGATGCATGACCTTGGACAGATCCCGTGCTTCTCCTCACCTCAGTTTCCTCAGCTGTAAAATGGGGCAGGTGGAACCCAAGGGATCCTTTAACTGAGGGCTGCATCACATTCTCTGTGCTGAGTATATCCCTCCTGCTTTCCTTCTTGCCAGGGTTAGCGGCCCCCCCAGTCAGAGCGACTGAAGTAGTAGCTCTGCATGAGTGGCTAAGTTGACGGAAATCCCCAGATACCCATAAAACCAAGCTCAAAGTTCAGGCACTTATTTACCTATGTCCAGATATCTCCATTTTCCCATCGACTAGCCGAGTGACCTTGGGAAGCCACAATAGTACAAAAAAGCACAGGAACCACTGTGTAACATTTGGTACCAGCCACTCTTAATCTCCCATAATGCCAGGCCTTTGTGAAGCAGCTTAAGCACATTATCTCTTGTAGCACTCTTAATCACCCTGTGAAATAAGTTTTATTATCCTCTTCTGATAGCTGGAAAAACTAAGGTTCATAAAGATCAAATAATTTACCCAAGCTGTCACACTTAGGAAGTGCATGAGCTACAACCAAAACTCGGCTATCTCTTGGAAGAAAGTCTCTACACCCACAACCACTCACAAGTCAGATTCCCCCTAAGCCTCACTTTCCCCACCCGTAACTGAGAATACTCATATGCAGCACTGTTGAAAGGATGAAAAGTGGCTACCTCAGTGCCAGGATTCGGTACATACTTCACAAAGGGTCATTATTTTGCCACTATTTTAAGATTTGGGGAAATAAAATATATCTGTTCGCTGTTTCTTTTTCAGCCATTTAGTTTCAGGAATGCATGTTTGATGTCTCAGAACAATGCTTCTCAAACTTTTGTGTGCATAAGAATCACCTGGAGAGCTTATTAAAATGCAAGTTCTAGTTCATTAGAACCGAGGTCAGGCCTGAGAGCGTGCATTTTTTACCAGCTCTCAGGACACGCCAGTGCCACTAGTCCAAGGACCACGCTTTGAGTAGTAAGGTCTTAGAGCAGCCCTCCTGGTCCCATCTCCAAAAGAGGTTTCCAATGAGGGTAGCTCTTCCCAGTGTCTTTTAAAGCAGTGATTCCCAACCTTTTTGGCACCAGGGACCAGTTTCATGGAAGACAGTTTTTCCATGGAACTAGGGTGTGGGGCATGGATTCAGGATGAAACTGTTCCACCTCAGATCATCAGGCATTAGCTGGATTTTCCTAAGGAGTGAGCAACCTAGATCCTTCACATGCGCAGTTCACAATAGAGTTCCCACTCCTAGGAGAATCCAGCGCCACCACTGACCTGACAGGTGGTGGAGCTCAGGTGGCAATGCCCCTCCCTGTCTGCTTAATCCCTGCTGTCCACCCTGGTTCCTAACAGGCCATGGACTGATACCAGTCCGTAGTCCGTGGCCCAGGGGCTGGGGACACCTGTTTTAAAGGAAGCCAGTCAGGAGCCCTGGCCATGTCCTACACACGTGGTATGCGCGCATACACACACACACACACACACACACACACACACACACAAGTGAGGCGAGGAATAGAAAGTGTGGTGGAGGACCAAGAAGCATCACAAGTCTGGTAGATTTGAGC